AGCCCACTGCAAACCAGCGGGTCCGGCGTCGGGGGCACTGTGCAATGAGGAAAAGGAGACCCGCAGAAACGTGCACACTAGGGACGAAGGGAACCGGGACTCCAGAGACACGCGAGCCGAGGCGGAGGGCAGAAGGGAGAACAGCAGCTGACAGCTACAGGCAGGATACAGAACAGGTGCAGCACGGGGCCAGCCACGCGTCTAGGGAATGTTGTTTTGTCCTTAATAGTTGTGCGGGATTATGCTAGACAGAAAACACCCGTGTCTTAAACACGCCTCGGAATTACTCTGTGGAGATGAGGGAGGAAGAGTATGACCGAGAGCAATGGCTCCCAACCTGTGGTCCCGGATCCCGCGGGGGCTGCATTGGTACTGTAGGGGGTCCACAAAAAGTTTAAGAAAAGAAAAGTGAGGATCGGGCCCAGCGCGGGATTGGGACTTTCCGCCAGTCAGTTCTGGCCCAGGGCTCAGTGTTGGCGACCGGCCATAGGTGTGCGCCTCTCACCCTCGGGATGGGATCCTCCTGCCTCCAGTTCTGGGTCCTGTGAATGCTTGTACCTTCCACCAACAGAAGTTGGTTCCGTACAAGCTGTTACCTTGGATTCCTGGTCTAGAACACTGACAGTCCAAACCCCAAAGGGACTGCAGAAGTAAGGGGGAAAGGATGCAACCTTTGCCCCTGGTATCTCTGTCCTGTCCTTAGCATTCTTCCCCTTTGCTGGGTAGACATATCCAAAGATTCAGGCTGGGTTCCTAGGGCCCGAGCTCCAGCCCACGCCCAGACATCTCCACAATAAAACAACCCGGTAGCCCACAGCCTGAAGTTGTTTGACACAGGTCGTGGCAGGTTTTGCTCTGCCATGCAGACATTCCCTTTGCCATATATATGTTATTTGGCATGCCTAGGCCTAATATGGTAAGTTGCAGATACAATAGTGACAGTGTTAAATCCTAAAATTTCAGCCTTTTGTCAGTTTGCAAGCCCCTTAGGATTGTTTTCATGCAGTTTGGTGTTTCCGTTTAATTTCTTCTTCCATATTAACTATAGTAGGAAGAGAATAAAACCTCAAATTAATATTGTTGTCATCAATACTTAGGTATGCTATTATGCTGTTTAGCCAGCATAAATCTGAGAGGCTTTCACTGAACTAAACAAACAAACAAAAACAAAAAAACCCTGACACCCCCACAAACCCTTCCTTTGACCTGCTAACTAGTTCTTGCTCCTTTATAACTCAGAATGGTGATCACAGTCCTCTTGTTGGATTACATCTGTGGAACCCCGGAGGCTTAAAAAGATTGGGACTACTAACCAGAAAGTCATTTGACCAGATAATACTTTTTGTGTGATGTAATAAAAGAGGGGTGGGGAACTCGGGAACTTCATTTTGGATCTGGCCCGTGGCAAAGCTTGGGACTGACCAGTGGAGCAGCAAAGGGAGGGGCGGGGGGCAGAGGCCACTGGGTGCCACACTAGGGGGGGTGCCAATTTAGCTGCCAAAAGTTATGTTGTTGAGTTTGCTCCAGCTGCTGCGCCCCTAAATCTCTGCCGCCTTCTACCTACTCGGCAACAGCTGCCCACAGGTGGCTCATTGTGCCGCATGCTGCAGACCGAAGAGGGGCGGGAAGGGGGTGGGAAGCGGGAAGCACGAGCCAGGGCAGAACAGCCCTGGTGAGTTCTGCCGCACATGCCCCCTGCTCCTGCAACAAATGATTGGGGGTCACAAATTTTGCCTTTGCCCCTGGGTGCATAACCCCCTTGCTACAATACTGCGACTTCCCCCTTCCTCCAGCCTCAGCACGTCCCCTCCCTCTGTGGCTGAAGTGTGAGCACTGGTTCACTCGTCCCCCCCGGCAGAGGAAGCCCTGAACTTTTTGGGAGCCTAGTCAGTGAGTTTTGGTTGCGTTCTTGGGGGTGGGGGAGGGTTTGCTTCTTACTTGTGTGTGGCCCCTAACTCACTTTTTCTGTGGGTCAGTAACCCCTGACCAAAAAAAGGTTCCCGCCCCTGAAAAAAGCATGGTTGAAACAAAGCAAGGTGCTGATGGCAATGTCACACTCATCACCTGCTGGAAAGCAGGAGTTTAAGTGCCAATGGTTACTCAAAGAAAGCAAAAAACCCAGTCGTGTAGCACTTCAAAGACTAACAAGATGGTTTATTAGGTGATGAGGAAGAGACAAGGAAGGAGGAAATTGCTTATTGTCAGAGTCAATTAAATGGCTAATCTGACCACTTTGACAAAGTTTGGTCCAGCTGCTGGGCCCCCCAATCTCTGCCGCCTTCCACCCATTCGGCGGCGGCTGCTCACAGTGACTGGTCAGTCACTTCTCCAGAGAATCAGTTCTCACGAATCAACATCAGACATCTCCATACAGAAAAACCTGTTAGCCAACATTTTAATCAAGTTGGCCATTCCCTTAAAGACCTGAAAACATGCTTCTTTACTGCAAAGAGACTTTAACACCAGATTACAGAGAGAGCCTTCAGAACTTTTATTTATACCAACATTCGACATGCTGGGAATGGGCCTTAATTTAGATGATAATTACCTTTCACATTACAAAGACAGCCTCCCCACCTTTTGATATTCGTAGTACTCCAGATTAGCCACTTAATTGCTTCCTAAAATAAGCAATTTCCTCCTTTCATGTCTCTTCCTTGTTCCCTTGTCCCAGCTACCTTCTGTAGCTGATTCATTATTGTATAATTTGTTTACTCCTTCATTGTAACCCTTTTGTTATGTAATGGCCATGCCATTTTACTTTTAGAATATGTTCTGAAGAAGCGGGTCTGCCCCACCAAAACTCATCACCTAATAAACCATTTTGTTAGTGTTTAAAGTGCTACATGACTGCTTTTTTTGGAAAAGTAACAGAGAGGTAGCCATGTTAGTCTGATCGAGGTAAAACAAAAAAAGCAGTCATGTAGCACTTTAAAGACTAACAAGATGATTTATTAGGCGATGAGCTTTCTGGGGCAGACCCCCTTCTTTATAACATATTCTGAAAGTGAAATGGGATGACCATTATATTGCAGAGAGATGCAATGAAAAAGTAGACAGATCAGCTACATAGAATAGAAGATAGGGGCGAGGGGACGAGGAAGAGACAAGGAAGGAGGAAAGTGCTTATAGAAAAAGTCAATTAAGTGGCAAATCTGGAGTTACTGTCTTTGTGGGGAGGCTGTCTTTGTAATGTGTAAGTTAATTATCATCTAAATTAAGGCCCATTCACAATTACCTTACACATTACAAAGATAGCCTGCTCACCTTTTGAAACAAAAGACAGGACTATGTAATACTTTAAAGACTAACAAGATGGTTTATTAGGTGATGAGCTTTCATGGGCCAGACCCACTTCCTCAGATCTGTGCATGAAAAAACTTGCACTGATCCAGACATATGGTCATGCCAATTTTCTTCCACAACTTGATCTGAGGAAGTGGGTCTGACCCACAAAAGCTCATCACCTAATAAACCATCTTGTTAGTCTCTAAAGTGCTGCATAGTCCTGTCTTTTGTTTCAGCAAGACCAGACTAACAGGGCTACATCTCTATTACTATTTCACACCTTTTGATATTCATAGTAACTCCAGATTAGCCACTTAATTGATTTTTACAATAAGCAGTTTCCTCCTTCTTTGTCTCTTCCTCATCCCCTCATCCCTATCTTCTATTCTATGTAGCTGATTTGTTTACTTCTTCATAGTATCCCTCTGCTATATAATGGTCCTGCCATTTCACTTTCAGAATATGATCTGAAGAAGTGGGTCTGACCCAAGGTCATCACCTAATAAACCCTCTTGTTAGTCTCTAAAGTGCTACATGACTGCTTTTTTTGTTTTACCTCGATCAGACTAACATGGCTACCTCTCTGTTACTGGTTACTCAGGAACTGTAGGACAATCCTTCCACAGCGGTTAAGAGCTTTTACTGATCTTTTTTCCAGGCTACCAAATGAACCTCCACTTGATAGAGGCTTTGTTCCTCGGCTGGGACATGCTATGGAATTTGGAAAAGATGCTGCCAGCTTCCTTTCTAAAATGAAGCAAAAACATGGCGATATTTTCACAGTAGGTGCCAGCTGTAAATTGTCTGCGCTGCTGGGGTTTAACTCTTGCGCAGGGTACAGCTCAGCCACTCAACCAAACGTAGCTTAGAAAGCTTTATGGAGCAGCTTTGATTGTACATCACAGACATGCACCGATCTCTACCTTCTCCCGTTTCTCCTGGCCGCTCGGCCACTGCCTTCCCCCAGCTACGCTAAGCCAGCTTGCAGCTGCTTTTAAACCAAACCATGCATGAGTGGCTTGATTTTCAAAAGGCATTAACATCACTTTGCATCCCTACCACAGAGCAGCTTCATTTTTCATAGTAACTCATTTTCTTCATACATGAATTAGACTATTTGTGTCATCAGTCCATTTTGCCCCCTGGAGGGACCAAAACTTGATGCTTGAGAAGAAGGCCGATTGGGAAGGATGGAGAAATGACCTTAATATGATTGAAGTCAGTGGGAGTTTTTCCTAAGTAAGAAGTGCAGGTTGGGTCCTTTAACTTATACAACTGCTGGGGAGTGTTCAGAGTCAAAAAAATGTAGTCCCTAAGAATCGCAAGTCCAGATGTGCAGCTAGCAGTAACCTGGTATGTTGCCATTGTGAACAATGAGTTTCTGTGTTTCCTTGGGAGCTGCCAGATGAACACTGCTCTTTATTGACTGAAGAAAGCGTTCAGGCCATTAAATATGCAGTCAAAGTAACATTTTGGAATGATTTGCAGAATACTCCACCTCATCTGGTGTAAGTCAGGGGCCCTCCGTTGATACTAGTTTGTACCAGCTGAGGATATTATGTACCCATCTGGGACTAACAAAGCAAAAGGTCTGTGTCTGAGCATTGGACTTATTACTGCAGATTTTGGCTTAGCATTTGTCCCATTGTCCTGCAACATTTCACATTTTCAATGTGTTATTGTATTCATCGAACTAATGGACCTATGATCTTTGTATTGTGGATTGTTTTGCTTCTGTAGATCCAGGTGGCTGGGAAATTTATCACCATCTTGCTGGACCCTCACTCGTACGATTCGGTGCTTTGGGAATCAAGTGGCAAACTAGATTTCAATAAATATGCACGCATTTTAATGGATCGGATGTTTGATGTCAAACTGCCTGATTATGACCCCAGTGAGGAAAAGGTCAGGCTGAGAGCGTGAGTATGCTACAAAGGAAAATTTGTGCCAATGTCTCAACATTTTTTTGGGAAATGATTATTTCCCAGTGAGCAAGCCATGCAGTTCCACTATGGAGGTGACATTGCTGGTGTCCAGGACAGGAATATTAACTACTGTGTAAGTACAAAGCAGAATGAAAGGGGAAAAGACTTGATGTCTATCTAGATTTTCCTAGTGAGCCATTGAACTGTCCTAGATTCCTGGCTTCTAAATACTAGAGATAGATGTACTAGGAACATGGAGAGATCCCTTCCCATCTTTCTTAACTTTACAAAGAAATAGCTGATAATAGCACTAGTGGGTTTAAAATGTAATGTGGTGCGGCAGAAAAAAAGGCTAAGATTGTTTGGGGTTGCACACACAAAGCAGGGAGGTAATAATGCCACTGTCTGCGGCTCTGTAGAGATCATGCTGGGATCAGGGCAGGGTTGACTAAAAGGTAGAGCCAATTGTTTGACTACACTTATGGTCTATTTTTAAGAATATTTAAGCCCAAATGACTGAATGTAGCCAAATTCACTGTCTAAAGATAGACCAGTATAACACAAAACGTCAAACACTACATAGGGCAGGTCTACACGAGTGGCTCCCTAACCTTTTTTATACTGCGGACCGGCAAATCCATTCACAAGCTGTTGACAGACTGGTAACATTTTATTTGCATATTTGCATATTCATTATGCAAAATGAATATGTGAATATACAAATAAAACATTACTGGTCTGCCAAAAGCCCCTGCCCCCACAGCCACTGCAAACAGCTGGCTTCAGTTCTGGCAGTTGCCACATGGCAGTGCCTCGATCAGCCAGAAGCACTAGCCAGCAGCAGAGGAGCTGCACTTTGCGCCTGCTCAGAATAGTAGCAAAGTGGGCTCCACAAAGCAGTGTCCTAACCTGTCTCACAGTGACTGGCCCTGGACATCAGATTCACAGGGTAGAGCCAACACCAGGAAAGGTTTCTGGTCTCTCCTGCCAGCCGGAGCAAGATTTAGACCTTACAAACGTCTTAGCTCCAAACAACACTTGGACACCAGCAAATATTGTCACAGCCCTAAAGCCAGTAAAAAATAATCCTGAAGCAATTACAGTTACTCAGCAGGACATACTAACAAGCAGCAGAGCTCTGGGGCTATCATTATTTTAGTCTGCCCGGGAATTGTCTTTACATTGAATATTTTAAGGTATGAGAGACATTTAATCACATGTTGTGGTGTGACAGCATGAGACATGTTTAAAGCCTTTCAGTAAAAGAAGGAGAAGCAACCTGGCTGGAAATAAATACGCAGACTACATAGTTTACTTTGGTAAACAAAGCCCCCAGGAGAATGTATGACTGATGGTGCACCGGCCGCGTGCGGGAAAGCAATGAAAGATCATGTTTATACTCGAATGGCATAAAAATGGGACAGTCTGTGGTTTGACTTCTGGGAAGCTCTCTTGCTTTGCCAATAGATGCAGCACACGGCGGCGACATGCATGGCTCAAAATAGCTTGGAGGGGCACTCTTCCTTCAGATTCTTTGTTTGGGGATGGAAGTTTGAAGGTCTGGGAAAAGTTGACGGGAATAGTGCTGGCATGGAATCCTCAGGCAAACATCACCCTCTAATCCAGGGGGGCTCGTCTACACTGGCCCCTTTTCCGAAAGGGGCATGCTAATTTCACAGGTCGTAATAGGGAAATCCGCGGGGGATTTAAATATCCCCCGCGGCATTTAAATAAAAATGTCCGCCGCTTTTTCCCAGCTTTTAGAAAAGCCGGAAAAGAGCGTCTACACTGGCCCCGATCCTCCGGAAAAAAGCCCTTTTCCGGAGGATCTCTTATTCCTACTATCTCTTATTCCTACTTTGAAGTAGGAATAAGAGATCCTCCGGAAAAGGGCTTTTTTCCGGAGGATCGGGGCCAGTGTAGACGCTCTTTTCCGGCTTTTCTAAAATCCGGAAAAAAGCGGCGGACATTTTTATTTAAATGCCGCGGGGGATATTTAAATCCCCCGCGGATTTCCCTATTACGACCTGTGAAATTAGCATGCCCCTTTCGGAAAAGGGGCCAGTGTAGACGTAGCCGGGGTGGCCAACCAGTTAGACACCGAGGGTGTGTCTAGACTACACCTCTCTGTCGACAGAGGGATGCAAATCAAGCACGTCGAAATTGCTAATGAAGCAGGGATTTAAATATCCCACGCTTCATTAGCATAAACATGGCAGCTGCTTTTTTTTGAAACGGAGCTTTTTCGAAAAAAACCCCAAACAAACAGCAGTCTAGATGCGGATCTGTCGAAAATAAACCCTTTTTGAAAGATTATTTAAACCTCATTTATTGTGGAACATAGGATCTGTCAAAAAAGGGTTTATTTTCAACAGATCTGCATCTAGACTGCTGTTTTTTTTCCGAAAAAGTTCTGTTTCGAAAAAAAGCAGCAGCCATGCTAATGAAGTACGAGATCAGAGCATCATAGAATCATAGAATACTAGGACTGGAAGGGACCTCGAGAGGTCATCGAGTCCAGTCCCCTGCCCTCATGCGAGGACCAAATACTGTCTAGACCATCCCTGATAGACATTTATCTAACCTACTCTTAAATATCTCCACAGATGGAGATTCCACAACCTCCCTGGGCAATTTATTCCAGTGTTTAACCCCCTGACAGGCAGGAACTTTTTCCTAATGTCCAACCTAAACCTCCCTTGCTGCAGTTTAAGCCCATTGCTTCTTGTTCTATCCTCAGAGGCCAAGATGAACAAGTTTTCTCCCTCCTCCTTATGACACCCTTTTAGATATCTGAAAACTGCTATCATGTCCCCCCTCAATCTTCTCTTTTCTAAACTAAACAAACCCAATTCCTTCAGTCTTCCCTCATAGGTCATGTTCTCTAGACCTTTAATCATTCTCGTTGCTCTTCTCTGGACCCTCTCCAATTACTCCACATCTTTCTTGAAATGCGGTACCCATAACTGGACACAATACTCCAATTGAGGCCTAACCAGCGCAGAGTAGAGCATAAGAATGACTTCTCGTGTCTTGCTCACAACACACCTGTTAATGCATCCCAGAATCATGTTTGCTTTCTTTGCAACAGCATCACACTGCTGACTCATATTCAACTTGTGGTCCACTATAACCCCTAGATCCCTTTCTTCCAGGGACGGATAAGTTTTGCGGGGCCCAGGGCAGCACAATTTCATGGGGTCCCCCTTTGGAGAAAAAATAGGAGGTGTCAAATGCGCAGATTGAAGGCTATTTTCGTATTACATGTGAATTGGGTAAATTTGGTAGAAACTTAATTTAGTTGGATAATTTTTTATTTTAATTATATTGTAATTCATTCTTAAAATTCTGCATTAATAATTAAACATTTTCATTCGCATTTAAGTCTGTTATAGCTCTCTAACTCTTTTGGCAGCTGGGTCTCTAACAGCCGGTGGGAAAAGGCTTCTTCCCAGCATCAGCCCCTTCTCCAGCCCCAGGCACTGGAGCAGCGAGGCGCCCGGGGAGCAGGGAAATCCTGACCCAGTTTAGAAGGGGCTGGCTGCTGTGTCTGAGCCAGCAGCCTCCCAGGAGCCTGCAGAGCAGCTGGAAGGAAAGGAGATGGCACCTCAGGCTCCATGCAGGGTCAGAGGAGGGGCCATAGAGGCTGCACCGCCTGCCGAGAAAGGGAGTTTGGACACCGCAAACAAACCTGC